ATTTTTTTTTCTTAATCCAATATTTCTTTATACCTCCATTTAAAAAAATTGCAAAATTTGCCGCCTTCTAGATTTGCCGCCAAGGTTTGCGACCCATGTGTCCACTAATCCGGCCCTAATTAAAAGACTAAAAAATGTAAAAAAAAAGATGAAAAAAACTTGGTATAAATGTTCGAAGAAATGTACATCGAACCACTTTCTGAAATATACCATATGCCATTTCGGACCGTATATGGGGGACTGTACTGTCACAGGTTTAGCAATCCTGCAAACCCAAGCTGGTAACCCCTGCCTCAAAGGGGATTTAGAGATGGTCACTGGCTTCTATAGGCGTGCGAATTACCCAATTTAAGGGCAGATTGGGTCCTTAGCTGCAGTGAAAGTAACCAATCTAGGAGAGCGCATTCCGAATTCATGGTCTTCTAGGTTGCGGTTGAGAAATGTGTTTATGTACTAACTTCACAGTACTTGTAAAAAATCCAAATGTCAGACGACCAAGCCAAAAAAGCCTCGGGACCCATATCAATTCTGAAACTTCGCCTCAAAAATGTGATAAAATGGTGATTAATTCCGTGTCACTATCGGCAAACACAGTGGGGTGTAATTAAGCCGTTTCGGTCAATACTAGTGAAAGGATGCGCTTCATCACAATGATGGATTTCATAAATGGAACCTAGCGACTTTTTATATGCGAGCCTTGTCTAGACCAGTTAAACGCCGCAGTTCGAGAATTTTATTCGAGGTGAAGAAACTTCTCGATTGTGAGCGGTCAAGAATTTGCTTCACTGCTGGAAGCAGCTGGCTCGGCCCAGTGACTCGACCTGCGACCTCATAAGAACAACGGCCAATCCGTCCTGGAGGATAGATTATCGCTGGATGATAAAACCGAATTAGGCAACGAACAAGGCGCGATGATACCCAACTGATCCATCGCTTGATCCATCGTTGTTTAGAAATGAGAGGTGAGGACAGTGGACCAGTCAGCAGGATGGGCCACAGCCACACTGCCGTGCTAAGGAAAAACGCCGTATAAGCCTTCGGGCGTTGCCAAATTTCCCTTAAAAAATCGTTAATTTTCGAGAAAATTTGTGAATATTTTCAAAAAATCACTCATTTTCGAGAACATTTGTGAATATTTTTCTTCCAATTTATCAGGTAATTTTGTTCGTAATTTGATCCAAAAAGTCTGAAAATGTCAAGGAAAAATATTGAAAATTTTCCTCATAAATAAACATTTTATTGGAGGAGGTTTGGCAACTCTCGAATGTTCATACGGCGTTCTTCCTTAGCACCGCAGCACTGGGTGGAGGTGCCGTCAACTACCCCCATTCTCCGAACATGAGTACAAATGAACAGAATTAAGCAGTTTGAAACTATAGAAGAGCCGTAATCAGTTTCAAAATTGAAAAATTCTTCCAGACATCAAATTTTAGCGCCCAATATCGACCAAAGTAAGGCTTCCGTAAAAATATGCGTAAAAATTGGATCGCATCTTGCAATAAGGAATGATACTAACATGGCAATATTGTTGAGATTACACTAAAAAAAAAAGTATCACAATCTCAACGATACTTCCAGCTGATTTTGGCGCCAGCTGCAAGAGTAGTTGCACTAGCTGAAAGTGTAAAGGCACCAACCAGCTGTTTATTAAAACCAACCACAATTATTCTGACTGTGAGGGAACCAGCTAGAGGTATATGATTAATCCAACCACACTTTCAGTTGACTTAACCATACCTTTGGCTTGTGCAACTACTCAAATATATGCCGCTGAACTCAGCTAGGAGTATATAGTTGGGATTGTGATAATTTTTTTCTCCGTGTACGCAACTTCTAAGTCCACGATAAATTAACCGGAAACGTATGATATTTACAGGATTTTGTTTGATGCACAAATAAAATCTATAATGCATCCGCAGAGTTATTTTTTGAAGGAAGAATAATTTGCCCAATATTTACAACATTTTAAAGCAAGTAGTTCATCATTGCAAAATGCAGACCAAGTCACCTTATTTGCGCACTCCCTGATGTCGTACACTACAGTTTTTAGATCACCACCGCACATCGCAACTTGTCGATGGCGTCATACACATATTTCTAAAAGGGCATCATATCTTCGGCACTGCATTTAAAATTGGCATTTAAATATTTCTCGCTATTTTTTGTCAGTTTACCAGCTTCAAAGCAAACATACTTTTGCCACACGCGTGCACAACTGACCTATTGGCAAATCCTAAATTGCAAGATACAGGGGAAACCGCTTACAATCGGGCAACGTCGGTCTAAAAGTATGGATAAAAAACCGGAACACAATGGTTGTGAGTGGAGTAGAGCAGCAGCAGCGCAGACGAGCGGCTGCAGACGCAGGATAACGCTAAACGTTATTCACAAATGATCGCTGCACTTTCACAATCTCACATTCGTTCAGAATGCAGCGAAAAAGATATTACAAGTTTTAAGTTATTCACCATCGTCGTTGCCGTATCTCACACAAAATAATTTCAATTTTGCTGAACATTATTGCAAATAAGAAGGCGAAACTTGAATGGAAAAAGGTGGTGAAGCTACAAAAACGTGCATCTCATTTGAGGTTACTAAATCTCCGCTGCTATTTTATTTTTTTCAGGGTGAACAGTTTTATTTAGCACAGTTGCTTAAAATTTCATAGCCCAAAGATTTTATACACCCACACAGAAAAAAACAAAAATTCGGGAAATTTTCGAAAAATTTATGTTCGGTATATTTTTCCATTTAGAAAATAAATTATGGCGGGAAGTAGTCTGCAAACACGCTTCATAACCGAGGTACACGATTTTGTAGTTTCACCGTCCAAATGGAGTATAGTCGTGGCCCTTATCTTACGGAACATCTCCAAAAATTCCGTAACAGTGCGTTACTTTCGGACGGCCTTAAGGACTGAGTAAGGATGAAAAAAAAAACAACTTAAATCGGGATTAAGGCCGCAAATAATAAAAAGAACACATAAAATAAAAAAAAAACCCGGGACGTCCCCCCATCTCCGTCCCGGGACGTCAATGTGTTTTTTTTTAATTTTCTTTGTTTTGCCGGTTGAAAATGCGGGAGTGATCCCTGCGAAACGTCCCGGGTTTTCTATTTTATTTGTGTGTTCTTTTTATTATTTGCGGCCTTAGTCCTGATTTAAGGTGTTTTTTTGTCAGTGTTTCAGGCCAATTGCGTTGCTTTTTCTATCACTATTGTAAGGATGAAACTCTGTTTTGTTCATTTTGCATTGTTATTCACGCAATATCTCAGGTCATTCTCCGGAGAAACGGCAACTTTTTCCACGATCCGTGCCTCGGGTGGCGTTGAGTCTTGAGTAGCGGCTCCAGCTCCAGCCGCGCGGAGGACTCCTTCCTGAATTGCATAAAGACAAATAATAAAATATGCCTAGTCCTATAATAGCTCAAGAGAACTTGCTGTCTGCTTTAAGTACAATCGCCCGGCCACGGTCAGTTGAGCGGGCCACCGCACCGTTCGCTGCTCGACTATCGACGCGATATTCCGCCGCGATATTTTTGACTGCGTGATCTGTTACACTAAACCAGTTTCGACTGCATCGTTCGATATCGACCCGGGCTGGTCTTGCATACGCACGGGGTCATTATATCAAGCCGCAAGCCTCCAAAAACGTGTGGCATGGGTACCCAGTGACACACTGCGCTGCTTGTCCGCTCATCTGACCTGGGAGTCTGACCGGCATCCCGGTCGATATTTCGCTCCATCCTTGGTGCCCTTTTAGACTTCCTTTTTCAGGTGAACATGACCCGTCTGACAAATATTAGATTCCTCGGGACATGCTTTGATATGTAATAAGAGGGATAAAAATTCGGGTTTTAAGAATGCATTAAGAAGTTATGATAGAGGGCTCTTTTTTATGGAAATGCATGAAGAAGGTGAATCCGACACTAGAAAAAAACACACATTGGGTCTAGAGTCCAGACTCTTAAAAACATTAACAAGAAAAAGTATTCTTGATTCAATCAGAATCTAGCTTAAATTAAGAACCAAGCCTTGTAATTTAAGCGGATTTCGTTTCGCTTCAAGCAAAAATCCGATTGAATCAAGAGTATTTTTTCTTGTCAATGTTTTCAAGAGTCTGGACTCTAGATCCAATGTATTTTTTTTCCACTGGATTATAGCCAAAAGTGCATTTAAGGAGTGTCAAAAGTGCTTAAATTCACAACATTTAATGAAATGAAACGCTTGTTACATAAAACAATATTTATTCTTCGACAAAAACAGTAAAAGGAACGTACACAGGTATTGACTTTAAAATTATTTTTTAAAACTAATACAAACTTTACATCACGTTAAATTCTAAACCGGAAATCAGCGCCTCACTTCCAGCTACATTTTTTACTCAATTTTTCAATTTGCCAAGTGAAATTCGTACGATTTTTGTTTTCTTGTGTTGGCTCAATTTTTCTCGAAATTGGTTTACAATCAGTTGAACCCTGGAAATCAGTTAAGCCCTGTATCGTATGGACTTCATTTTTCAACGAGGAATAATCATTCCTGGCTCATTTTTGGAGCGACATACGTGGCATTAATTACGCTATGCAGATATGTGCTTTGAGTAATAAGCCAGTAAAAGTTGATCATTGTTGCAATATGTAATCGAAATGATCTTCGGAACGTTTAGTTTCTGTATGAAATATGAAAATACTTAATGATGATAGCTGAACTCAGCGCAAGTTGTTATGCACCATCGTTCATCTTCAAGTGAATAAAATAAATGAGGTGAATACCCAACGGTCATTTTCTAAATTAAAAACTATTCGCTTTAACATCATCATTGAAATCAACAGACAGTTAAAAGAATGATAAATTGAGGAAGCTCATCCAAAGGTAGCGTTTTGAATTGTATGGTTTCTCGAATTCAGCTAACAACACATTTGTTTTTTATCTTACTGTAATCATGAATAAACTAGCTTTTTTGTAATACTTACTTTTTATTTCAAAAAATACTTTGCCGTGGAAAAATTCAAAACAATACAGTTGCATCTTCGTGCTTGTGAAAAAATAATTTCTCTTGATCCATAGACCCCAAAAAATATCTAAAAATATTTACAGGACTTTACAAACCCAGGAATCAAAAAAGAGACATTTCTCACTCTACTCTACAGTATCAAAAAAACTTAGCAAGTCCTCAAAAAGTGAACATTTGATCAGTTCAATACTGATCTCATCTTCATGTTATACTCATTATACACTTCATGTTAAGACTCAGTGGCGATGTTCTACTAATAAGACAGTTTCCAGGAAAACATTTCTAAGAAACTGAATTTTCATTCTTTCTCAGCCGAGGAGCTGCTGGTGGCGTTCACTTTACCATTGACCTCGACGCTCTCATCTTTTTCCAGGTCATCCGTGTCCAAAATCGACTGGACACCACTAGAATTTCTTCGAAGTCTGATGAACTGCAGTCTGCGAGCGTAAGGGACTGGTATGATGGCCAAAGCACTGGTATGATGGAGCGGCACAGGGATGGTCAAGGGATTAAAGTGTGGAAACCTGTAAGGAATGGGCCCCAAATGGGATAGCGGTGAGAATGGCTGTGCATACTTGAGGTAAGGCAAAGGTGAGTCCGGAATTCCTGGAACGGCTAACACTCCTGTATTTTTTATGTTTAGCCAACGATAATCGACGTATTTGAATGGAGACGGTGGGGTCACAGGACTGATTGGGATTACTCCATAACCAAAGTAAGGTCTTGGCGATGGTAGAATATTCTGTGTCGGTTTTATGTAGTAAACCACTGTTGCCTCCACAGACCTGCAACATAAATATTGAATACTCCCAATAATGTTCTCTGAACCTAGTGAATTTTTGTAACCATATTAGGTGCATATGTTTTATTCTAGCTGTTATTAAGATAGTGATCAGTACAATGGAGTGGCTAGGAACGCACTGCTTCAATAAAGAAGATTGCCGTGTGAGCATTCACTTCATCGCCAAATTACCATCAACAGAATAAAAAATGTGTAAATATTTTGAAAAATTATTGACATAAAACCATTCAATTTTATGATAGTACTAGCCGTTCTGGGCGCGCTTTGCGCGCCCGTCACGCCTAGCCCGGGG